GTTTCACTATGACCGATCTTATTTTCATTAAGATAAAAGCTCTAGTATTACATGGTCACTATCCTCCAATATAACTGCTACTTCACATTTCTCCACTAAGTCTTCCTCACAGGTTCCTTTATTTGATTTTTTGTCACTGACACAATTCAGGAATTTCCTGGAAGGGCCATGCTTGGCAGAGTTTGTCTCCTAACAGATTTCAGGGTGATTATAATTTCTTGTCACTTCATTCTCTGATCTGTATCTTCCTTTTGTAAGGCATCCACGCTTGTCTTGGTTGGATGGGTGATAATAAATACCAACCACAGTATTCTTTAGTTTGGTCCTCCACTTATTTTAACTCAGATATTTACTACAACTTTGCCAAGTTAATTTATTTGGATTTCTGAGTAGGCATAGATATTTTTAACACACAGCGTAACTCCTTATCCTTTTCTATTAATATTCAATTGCTGTATTCCAATCATGGGAGTCATTAGATCTCTGTTATACCTCTGAAAACACATTTGTTTTTCCATATTAAGTGTTCAGACTCATCTTATTTCCCGTTCTCTGAGCATTAGTGTATAGATAATGAAGGAAGTTTGTGACCCAGTGTTATTTCTTACATTTCATTTTCTACAGTGTACAAGCCTTTAACTGAGGTCCTGTCTTTAGGTTCTTCGTTTCTAGCTTTCACAGGATTCAGTTTAAAGCCCTCCTAATCAAGATTATCATGCTTTGGCCAAACATATTTTTGCCAATCCTTGTGGGATGCAATCGCTTCTCATAGCAGAAATGCATCAGCTGGCTAATTGAATCTGTGGTCTCAAAACCCAAAACTTCTCTTTGTCATCATTTTGTGTGACCAGTTATTGATTTGCAGTATTCATCTTTTTTCTTCAAGTCCTTTTCAGTGGACTGGAAGAATGGTTGCAAATTTCAAGCTGTTTAGCTTTCTTCCAAGATATTCAAATGCTGTGGTGATATGGGTGTTGCTAATTTTGCAGTATGATTTGTTCCCAGGATGTATATTTTATTTTACCCCACCCCAAAACCTTGTATTGCTCATCCAAAGAAATTTGAATGGTAGACACAATAACAATATTTCACTCATGGAAGAATCATTAAAACATAAGAAAAATCACAAAAAATATCATCCAGCGCTTGCCAGCCTGGTGTTGAATGTTATTTAAATAGGAAGGATTTCATCACCTTTCTGAATGCCAAGAGCAAAGCTGCTGAGCTCAGATCTGGGGGCAGCATATTCCATAATGTGAGGGCAATCACAGATAAGTCCTGGCTTCTAGTGCATACCCCTCTCACATTTTGTGGAGGTGGGACTTTAAGAAAGAGATAATTGTCATTGGACTGGATAAGTCTTGGAAGTTCTGTCACATCCTTTACTCTTATGACATTTCATGAGCCGGTGAAGCTGGTTACCATACATTTGTTTTGTTTGATATAGCAGTGAGTCACCAAGTATCGTGATTTTTTTGTGTATTTCTTATGGGATATAAGATCCATCATTGTATCTCCCATTCAGTGCCCCTTTTTCTTCCTTTGAACTTTTAGAAGTGATTTCATCTGAAAATGCTTCAGAGTTGTTTTGGAGTTCCAAAAGTACAGGTTGTATTTTATATTTTTGCTTCTGGTTGTTCCTTTCATCCACTGGGTTTGTTCTTTTTGTGTGTCTGTCTTCATTAGGTAGTGTTGCTTCTTTTGTCAGTTTCTGTTGTAGAGCTTCTTTTCTTTGAACCAGCAAATTTTATCCTTTCTCAACAGCTGAAATATAATTGTTTGCTGCTCAAATTGTTGAACTTATCATTAAATCTGGATGATATAGCAACTTAATTATCTTATCAGTGCTCAGAGCACAAAATAAATGTCCTGAGCTTTATTTCCAGTTACATAACATTATCCTCTTACCTGTGCCCCAAGCTTGAGAAAGTCAAAGCTCTTCATAAGATGATATGTTCCATATTTTAGGAGTAGAATTCAACATCACATTGAGATCCTTAAATATTTCTTCCCCAAATTCCATTCACATACATAAAATTACATGAACGTATTTCAAACATAATTTGAAACCAAAACAAACTGTGACAGAAAAAAGACCAATCATCTGAGTTAAAAGTATTTTCAGATTTCTTACACTGCCAACATCAAAAGTCTAATATGCATTGCTTTCTAAACAGACTGAAAATAGTATGTGAAGTCATTGATTTTCCAAAACAGAATATAGGTTATTCCCAGATTAACAACACATTCCATTTCCAAGGTCTGTCCTTAAATCAAATTTATATTGTAAGCCAGAACAGTATTATTGTATAATACTGTATAAGTAGTATGGTGTAATGAACCCAAACCATTGTGTATTTAACTCAAATCACTGTGTATGTAACTTGAGTTTTGCTACAGTAGGCTCTGTTCTTAACTATAGGTCATCTGTAAACTGGGCGTTCTTAACCCGGGGACTATCTGTATTCCAATCCTTCCTCCCTCCCTCCCTCCCATCCATCCATGCTGATTGACTAATTATAAATGTCAATCTAGAAAAACACAATATCTTAACAGCTGAAACTCTGGTAGGTTAAAACTGCCATCCTCATAAGATAATTTCAGTTTGGCCAAAGATATAAGAACATTTTTATGGTAGGCTAAAGCTCTTACAATATCCTTGGCCAATCTAAGTTAATGAGAAAATGTTTATGGCAAATTAAACCTCTCATGCTGTCATTCTTGTGGAATATAAAGTGATTGCTCTATATTTTAGATCGCTAGAATTTTGTTTTTAAAAAACTATTTTATCCCCATTACCAATGAACAAGAAAGACAGAAAGGGGTTTTCAATTCAAACCAAACTACACGCTGTCAACATACAAGGTCCCCAAGGTCCTTATTGATCGCCATGGAGATCAAGTGCAAAGAAAATAATATTGTGGATGAGGATTGCTAAATATTACTGGGCTCCAAAGAATCTGTTTTGATTTTAGTGTGTCAGTTTTGGAGTATTTCTGTCATGTATGAAAATCATGGGGTAGAGCTAAGGGCTACACCGTCCTTCATTCAGTGATTTATACTATGTAGCAGACACATTTTTTTCTCTTTCCATTTATTTTTATTTAGCTGATCCCCACAAGTATTTTTGTTCAGTTGTTTGAATTTATATGTGTAGATAGGCAATTTTATTACTGTCAGAGAATAGAAACAATATATATCAGAAACAATATATAACAAAATTTGTAACCAACTAATAAGGGCAATCCAATACAGTATAATTTGAACTATAAAACATGACAAAATAAACATTATAAAACCAAAAAATGGTAAAAGCAGACTATATAAGTGCAGTGACAGAAAAGTGAAGTCTAAAAGGCTAAGATAATACATGCATATATCTATGTGTATTTTTTTATTTGACCGGGTGATAATTCCTCTCTCTGTTGCTGCTACAGGTGGTCCTCGAGTTACAATGGCAATTGGGACTGGAATTTCCATTGCTAAGTGATGCAGTTGTAAAAAACGACATCAAGTGACTGCATTGGTTAGTGATGGCAATTTCTACAGTCCCTGTTGCTGTTGTTAAGCGAGGATCATGGGTTGTTAAGCAAGCACCTTGTCGCAACTTCCTCCTGGCTTCCAACAACCAAAGTGAGTTGGGAAGCTGGCAGGAAGTTGCAAGTCTCAGGCAACTTGCAAGTAGGCCAACAGGCAGGTAAGTGGCTGCTGCTGGATAGGAGAGGGAGCAAGGGGGTGCATGAGTGGCTGGGGAGGCATGGTACAAATGTGGTGGGGCTTGGGGTGGCTGCTACCAGGTGGAGAAAGTGTGTGAGGGTGTGCAAGTGGCTGGGGAGTGTGTGCAAGGATACATGTATGGAGTGGGAGGGTATATGGGTGGCCGGGGAGGTGCAGCGCGAGCGCAGAAGGACTGGAGGAGAGTGCATGGGTGGGGGAGACTTACCCGAGCAACTTGCAACCTTCCCTGCTGGCTTCCCCATGTGGGTGCTGGGATGGTCAGAACTTTGAGGAACTTCCACTCGTTCAGCTCCGTCATAACTTCAAATGGTCGCTGAACAAGTGGTTGTTAACCAAGGACTACCTGTATTATTTTGGAACAAATTATCTATTGCTGTATTTTAATAATATGATGATTCTATCAAGTGCCTATTATCCGTATGAATTCATATTAATCTTCCTGAATCAAGAGTTTAAGCTCATCTTGTTTATTTCCTGACTTTTTATTATAATAATAATAATTATTATTATTATTATTATGATTGATCACATTTTTGGATTTGGCATTTTATCCACCTATCGAGTCTTTCCCAAGGACCTGGGATAGGTAGATGTTTGATCATCATCATCCTGCCTTTTTTATATGTAACTCAAGGTGGGTAACATACCTAATACTCCTGCCTACTTTTTTCCCCACAACAACAACAACAAACCTGTGAAGTGGGTTGAACTGAGAGTGAATGACTGGCCCAAAGTCACTCAGCCTGCTTTCATGCTTAAGGGAGGCCAGTCTCCTGGTTTCTAGGCCAGCACCTTAACCACTGCACTGAGTGGCTCTCAGACTCTCACTCTCTCTTGTACTTTAGTTTATAGCTTAAAATGTAAGATCAAAGGCAAGGAACCTGTGTCCCTCTGTATTTTCTTGGGCTGCATTTACTATCATGCCTGCATGGCTAGAGTGATAGGAGATAGGTTCCAGCAGCATATGGGAGGGGGTCTTAGACATTGCACTCCAGCATTTATTTTGTTTTGACTAGGCACCCTCTCAAGCCCCTCCCCCTTTTTTTGTTAACATTGAAGTTCCTAAATTCATTGCATCTTTCCACTCTTGTCTCCATCCTGCCAGAATTGGGAGGATTGATTAAATACCAAAATTTAGAATAATCTGAGTGATTCAAATCTATTGCTGTAGTAGAAATATACAACTCTTATCTATATACTTTCTAAATTCTGTTTTTGAATAGTCTGGAGAATATGCTGATAATGAAATAAATTTATTTCAGGCATCTTCAAAAAATGATATTTTGAAAATTTGCAGGAAAGAATATGAGGTAAGCATTTGGCAGATATTAGTTATTTTTCTCATAACTAACCTTGTTTGATATAGATTGATTATAAAATCTGGCTATAGTTTCCACACTATACAGGTTTGTAGAAGAAAATCAAACCAAGTTTAACACTATGTTATGTTGTTTTTCGGCAAACTGATTTGCAAATAAGCGCCAACAGAGTATACCTGTATTTTTCCCTGCTCCTTCCTCTTTCTCTGTAATGTTTTGCTTTCTTTTCAGTATTAGTCATAGTTTCATATTACCTATACACCAACACAAACTTTGGTTAATAAGTCATATGTTCTTGTAATCTATAAATTGTAGCCATAAATACATGTGTGTGATCTGATGTGTGTAAGCTGTTCTTTTCTATTTGATGTTTTGTAATAAGGCATATTGTGATTAAAGAGACTTTCCCAAACTGTGAATGGGCTGCTTGTTGGCCCCATTCCTTGCTGTTACCAACCATGCTAACCTTGCCCCTCTGCTACTTTGCCCAGCCTAAAAAAGAGCTCTCTATGTGAATTTTTCCAGGTCTGTTTCTTTCTTCCACCACTAAAGGGAAGACTATGTTCCAGTCAGATTCTAAAGAGCATTGTTAGTCTATTGCAGTAAAAATAACATAGACTTTCATTATAATGTGTTTGTGGACTAGACCCTATTTCATTAGATGCATAAACTATTTTCTTGAATTAAAGCTACAAATGACCATGGAATGAGAAATAATGAAATTAAATGGAAGAGGAACATACAGTGATAATTACCTGGGGGGATGCCTTCTTGATAAGTCTGCATTTAGCAGAAATTAATTTATGGAGCAACCTGACAGAGGGCATTCTTGTTCCAATCATAGAATTCCATCTCTGTTCATTTGCAGCTGGCTCAGTCTTGTAAATATTTAGTGTCAGCTGAAAATGTATTTGTTCACCCAGACCTTTAATTCACTGTGTTTGCTATTGTTGTTCCTCTTGTGGTTTTAAGATACTAGAATTGTTTCATTTTAAGATGGTGAATGTTATGGTTTTAATCCTATTTTATTTCCCTAATTTGATCTTATTATAGTTATAAGAAAGCAAATGTTAACAATTAGTAATAATAATACATATTGTTAGCTTCTATTTATAAAACAATTGTTGAAAATGGCAGAGATATTCTTGTATTGGCAAATCGATTGATATATCCCTAGTATGTCCCTGTCAAATGTGGGCTGGATCCATACACTCCTGGCTCTTGTAGAGAGCTGGTGGTAGTGTGGTCAGCTGGATCTTGGAAGTAGTCAGTTTCTCATTTTAGGAGAGGGATGGTTCTTGTAGATTTGAAAGAGATTGTAGTGTGTTCCCTCCAGAAGCCCTCCTTGGATTCAGCTCCAATCTTCCCTTTTTAGAGAAGCACTTTAGAGGAAATAGATCATTTGGACCTTTTTCAGTGAGGGGTTGTGATGGAGGACTTGGATGAGGAGGTTCAAGGTCATGGGGAGAAGCATCTCCTCAGCCCATAGACTGAGTGTGTGAAAGCAAAGAGGATGAGACTGGCACCAC